GATATGGAAAGAAAATACAGGAATTTTCTCTTTTACTTAATTTGTCCTTTTCTATTTGTTCTCACTGTTCTCTCTTCGAAGCTGTAAATAAGACTTATTAGAGTATGCTTAAATAAGAAAATACTGTTTTGGTTTTTCTACTTCAAAATTTTGTTTCATTCATTGTGTTACTTGCCATTGTTGTAATTATTTGTGAAATTTACTAGAAGCTATTTTTTTTAAATAATTAATCATTCTATGACTGGAGTGATTCTGTTGGGAAGTAGATATAACATAAAATACAACATAATACAACATAAAAAAACAACAAAAATAAAAAAGCTGAAAATTGTATTTCCTCTTTAGACTTTTTGTCTGAACCATATATTTTGGTATTTTTTATTATTAATATTTTAAAGACCATATGCCCACTGTTTCAGACCAATTAATATAACAATAATAGATATTATTTGCATTGTTATTATTATTATTCAAATATTAAACAAAAAAAGAAATAGATTGCAACAATAAATACTATTGAACTGTAAAAATTGTAAAAAAATAAATAAATAAATAAAAAAAACTATAAAACTACAGTACTATTATTTATGTCTTAATTTCTTCATTTTCAAATATTAAACATCTGAGCTTTTATTTTGGTGGCAAATAAATACACACACTGCAGGTTTCAGATTAAAGCGTGTCAATGTGTTGTTCATTTACACTGATAGTTCCTCAGAGCTTCATTCTGAAACCTGCAGCGCTTATATTTATTTAACTGAATCACTGGCTTTCAAGATTTGATAATCGCACTTAGCCATATTGTGATATTGATTTTATTTCTATATATTGTGCAACCTTACATTAGACCTGATTGAACTTCACTCTGTGCTCTTAAAAATAAAGTTACCAAAAGTGGGTTTTCACAGTGATGTCATAGAAGAACCTTTTTTGCTTCCCCAAAGATCCTTTTAAGTGAACAGTTCTTAAAAGGACCATTTTAATAATCCAAATAATCTTTTTTTCACAATAAATAATCTTTTGTGCAATGGAAAGATTCCGTGGATGTTAAAGAGTCTACATCGAACAATGAGATGACAATAAAGAACCTTCAGTGTATGGACAAAAAAAGCCTAAATTGGCCTCTGTAGCCAAGACATTGTAAATTGTTCTAATCAATCTCAATATGTCATACAGCAATGGGGCCCTTCTTTAGCCTAGGGTCCCTGGGCTTAATCCCAGGTAAGCCTCTGCATTAATGCAGCCCTGCATGGAGACCAAAAAGCTCTAGAAATAATCAGACAGAGTTTTGCTGTGTTTAAATCTGTGGGAACATACTGTACACAGTAGTAATGTATTTTTATACCCAGTGATGGTAACTGTCAGCAGAGATAAAGCAGCAGCATCTGCGGCAGCTGTGTGCGGTAATATGGTGGGATGTGGATTTACATACCAAAGATGGAGACAATATGAATAACTGGTATATCATTTCCCATAACAGAGATCTTAATAGCACTTCTTCATTGCTTTTTGCATTACAGTGCAGTCATTTAGTGCAGTTGGAGATACGGCGCCTCCTTGCATTATCAGACATCTACATGCTACAATAAAGCACTTATTTTAAGGCCGCCCATCTGAGACAGAACACAAATATCTCTGTTGAGCTCTAAGCAGCGGTTGTTTCCGCTGCAGGAGATTAATGGACCTCACACAAAGGTTTCCGTGGTTCCAGTGAGGGCTGGTCAAGCAAACCGGGCATAAAAGGCAAAGGCAGTATGACTGCAAGGGCAACTGGGGAAGAATGTAAGGTCACTGTCAAGTGTGACTTGAGGGAAGGATTTAGGACTTGAAGACTTGAAGCTCTTTAGTTTTGGTGTGAAGTGGTGATAATCCACTGAGGACAAACGGTGAGCGTGATTTCACCAAGTACAACATGTTCCTGGATCAACATCCTTGTTGATCCTGGAACAACATTCCTATCAACCAATCAGAATTGAGAGATAACTTTTCAGTAAATATCTGCTTTAGGCTTACAATCAGGGTTAGGTGCTTCTACACCCTTGTTAATCAGCTATCAGTTCACACTGTTTTTAGGAATAAATTATGGGTAGGGTTAGGTTTATGGGTAGGGATTGGGTTAAGTCTATATTTTTGGACAGTTATGTTGATCCAGGATCAACAAAATATGTTGATACAGTGACATGTCTTACTTGGCAAAATCACGGCGACCGAGGACAAAAACATAAAATTCTAAGACAAACAGAAGGCATTCTGGGTCTTGATAATGTAAAGGGTTCAACTTTTCATTTATAGGGCACACGTTGGAGATCCATTACTTTAAAGCATTACAAAAACAGAGATCAGTGCGATTTAAAATGAGAAGTATTACATGTAAAATAATACTGAAATCTAACATAAAACACATTATGTAAAATAATCACATACAAATTTACCTTGTTAAAAATAAACCTTGTTACCACATGACTTTCTCCCTTAACAAAAAATAGATAACTCCATAAAATGTATAAATATTTTCCATAAAATTACTAGAAGTAACATAATTTGGATAAACAATTTAAAAAGTGGCAACAATAATATAATAGTATTAAACTGTATCAAACCGGTTACCACCCCCCCATATTTACATAGCATCTAAAGGTGGAAACAATAATATAGCTGTATAAATCAACCCTGTTACCCTGTGAATTTCCTCCCGTTTCCATAACATTTGGTCACCCAGAAGGTAATACAATTTGGATAAACAATTATCTTACATAAAATTAACACAGTATCTAAAAGTGGCAACAAGTTTTAAAACCAGCCCTTTACCACATACATTTTCCCCTAATTCCATACTGGGACATCCAGGAACATAATTTGGATAAAGTTATTTAATGTAACTATACACAACATGAAAACTGGTTTTGATCATGTAACAGTATTATATTCAACCCCGTTTTGCATAATTTAACTTTATAATAATCACTGATCATTCCACGAAACTGTGACAACTAGGAAGTAACATTATTTCTATAAACAATTATCTAACCTAAAATGTACGTAGCATGTAAAGTGCCTACGATAATATAACAATATTAAAATCAACCCTGTTGCCATGTTATCATGTTATCTACGTATGCAGCCGTTCAATCCTATTACTAAAGTTATTGTTCTTTAATTTATGGGAAACTTAAGTTAATTTCATCTAAAAAAAACAAACAAAAAAACATTTCTGATGGCTTCATTTAGACTGAATTTTCAACGCTGTTACCCATTGTCAATTCAGCTTTTATTTCTAGAAAATAACAAACTCACACAAATCTGGGTTTTAAACTGATGTTTCTAAACTTTGTAACTGGACTGTAAAAAGGTCAACCCCGTGTAATAAAACAGCTCAATCTGCCCTTTTGAAAAAAGAAAAAAAAAGAAGATATAACCTCTATTTTGTGCCCTATTTGTGGAAAGTGCCAGTACAGTGAAAGTGACATTATAATTTGAGAGATATTGAGAGGGTGAGAAAGACAGTGTTTACATGTATGCGACAGGAGGGAGCCGAGACCACAATGGACGTGACATTTGAAACTGTGGGGGTGTTAGACCTTTCTCCAAGACCGCAGAACACTCTGGATAACAGATTCTTTGTTCTGTCTTCATATGAAGTTTTTAAGTCTGTTATAATTTGTAGCTATAGAAACTGAGGGTACATTTAGTGTAGTGCAAAGTACTACTTCATTTAGTTTTGCTGTTGTGTGCTAAAAGCTTAATGTTGGGTATTTTATACGAAAGTATATGTTGGTCAGTGTTTTTGAATTCAACATTACTCCCATAAAAGTGTAATATGCCATTTTTATTGTTTTGGACTTTACACTGACACCTATTGGTGCAGAGGAAGTATCACAAAAACGAATGTCATCATACATATTGCATTACTATAAAGTAATTTAATTTGCAACCAAAAATTTCTAAAATTCAGTGTCACAGAGATAAAAATGAACAGTATGAAGCTGATCATGTGATCCCAACATGGCCGCCACCATGAGGGTGGACCACCCTTATGCTTGTATCCTTCTGAAAGGACTTACATCTTAATCAAATGTGGGTTTACATAATTTAAATACATTTGTAAAATTATTATTTATTTTTTAGATGTAGTGCATCTTTAATCAGAGACATTCTGATGTTTGCATATCACACCGTGAGAAGTTTTTCTAACCGCTTTCATGCCTTTAAGCATCACAAAACTAGAATGACAATAATGTCATTCCAACCGTGCCACGGTGATAAACAGCAGGAGACAAATTCTGCTCATTCCACTCAGAAGTATAGCAAGATTTCGAGATAATTTTGAACAACATCCTCGAACTCGTGAAAGAAACCCGAGCGGGAGCTGCGAAAGTGGGAATGATCCCACACAGAACCGATCCGGCTTTCTGGAATCTAAACCAGCGGATTACACACTTGAGAAAGTACTAAGAGAATGCAAGCAAGTATTTCACACAAAGCAGCCTCACATTGGTGACGCAGTCTCAGTGTTGAGATTCCTCACATAGCTGACGCTTTCTGGAATCTGGTTTGGTGGGGATCGGTTTCCCGCTCTAATTTCCACCTAATTACGCTCACAGAATAATTATAGCCGTCCACGGTCATTTCAAGCATTATATTTCTCTAAAACAGGACAGAATAAGGTGTAAAACTAGCTTGATGAGGTGTGGAGAATAGAAATGTCATGTTCAACAGAACTTCTAGATGTTTTTACGTTCTGAATGAAATGTGAACTGTGCTTACCAGTGCAAAACCCGATGCCATCATGCTGAAGTGTTGTAGGTGGTCGTCAAAGCATTGATATTTGGATGCTAGGGTGTTCCAGGTGATTGCTTGCTGATAGCCTACCTGCAGGTTTCTGTGATATTCTGTTCCTTATAAATGGCGCAATTCTTCCAGCTTTATCCACCAGGTGAGAACTGTCAGATTTCACAGTTATGCAACAACAACAACAACAAAAAGACCAAGACTTTGTGGTATCATGTCGAACAACATTTAATAGAATCGTTTTGTCTATTTTGTACAAAATGGAAACAATGCTGCATTACAAACCAAATAAGTTCCAGATAAGGCTATGGCTCGCACACAGTTCAAACGGAGAGTACACCTGCAATGGCTTTAAGATCTGCTCATTAACATTCCCAATACTGATGCAATTCTGTGCATGAATGCAAGCAACTTGACACATAACCACATAGTGAAATAAAATACGATTGAAATCCCATGTCAACGTGCATGGCATGGATATCCGTTATGTCACGCAGGGATGGGGAATTCGATGACGCCCAACCCTGGAGACGAATCAGAAATATTCTAGTACCACAACCCACATCATCCGACTACCACTGAGCAGGACGATCCACATCAAAACACTTTCGTAACTACATTGTAACAGCTATATCGGAAATTTAAGTTATGTTAGATTTGTGAAGACAGCAGGTTCATTTTGTTGGCAAAAGAAACCCTGAGTAATGCTTCACTGGGAGCACATATCATCTGGGGAGTGTCCAAAAACTTGCTATGTTGCAAAAATGGCCATGGTTGCATATGGACGTTAAGAATTCAAAACACATGTGGCATCTTTGCTAGACCCTCTTGCATTGCACACCAGCTCTAATGTTTCGAATATAGAAAATAAAAGAAATCATAAGCCTTATATATGATCCATTTTGAGGGTTAAATTTTGGAGTGCGAAATTACACGACTTATGAATGAGAAGGTCATCTGAGGTCATCTCTGTAAAAGTAAACAGTAGAGAAATAAACAAACAAACAAACAAACATGCATTTCCTAAACAGTGTTTGGTTTCCTATTGCATTAGTGTGGCGAGTCCACGAGGAAATGAGGCCTGCATCCACATCTTCTAATTGTCTGACGGACAGCCGAGTTGTGCCGTGGCTATCTGTTCACCAGTCTTACTGCTGTTTGCACTCTGCAGGAGGAGGGTCTTTCTGTAGGAACAACAAGACCGAGATAAAACATAGAAGGATAATTATGAATATTATTTCAGGCACTGCGCAACAGGAAGTAATGATTTGCCTGATGATGGTTTGGTTTATAAATACATGCTTTGTTTGGTAAAAGTGAAGTGTGTAATTTCTGCACCAGTAGTTGCATCAACCCTAATAGCAAAACTAATGTTTTTGAACAGGTTTTGGCTCCGCCCTTATCTGCCAATGGTTGCAAATTGGCCTCGCCCCAAAAGTACACTATAGAGTGTATTAGTGCCTGCCCACTTTTTCAGTGGTGCTGGTTCAGGAAGTATTTTTTTGTTCATTTTTCCCATAGGGATTTAAAAAATAATCTTTGTTAAAGCATTACAAGCCATGAAAACTAACCAGCTACGATATACTTCAAACCTCTTTTTTTTTAAGATTTATTATTGGTGTTTTTGCCTTTAATTTTGATAGGACAGATCAAAGTTGACAGGAAGCGAAGTGGGAGAGAGAGGGGGGATGGGATTGGGAAAGGTCAGCGAGCTGGGACCCCAACTCGCGACACCCGAAGCGCAACGGCGCTGCATGTTGACGCGCTGCCCACGAGGCTACCAACGCCGACCTACTTCAAACTTTTATTTCCAAACTTGTAAGACCTTCGTACATCTTCGGAACACAAATTGAGAAATTTTTGATGGAATCTGAGAGCTCTCTGACCCTCCATAGAC